GGAATTTTTATTTAAAAATTTTTTTGCATTAAAGGGATTTGTAAGGAATGAGGCAGATCTAAATGTACATAAGAGAAAAAAAGCAAGTGGCAGAACAATATGTATCTATAAAATGCTACCATATATTAAAATATTATGTACACAGGAGACAGGAAAAAGCCCAGAATATATATCAGTTTCAAAACATTGGCTACTGATGAGGAGGGAGGGGGGAACCAGATTTTCTTTTTGAGGGGAGAAGTGTTAAAAGGGCCTAAGCCTTATTTATAACATTTTTTTTTAACATCTTTATAAAAATATGGAAGACTTCACTAATTTGCATGTCATCCTTGCGCAGGAGCCGTGCTAATCTTCTCTGTATCATTCCAATTTTAGTATATGTGCTGCCGAAGCAAGCACGATATAACATTTGAAATTTTAAAAGGAGAATGTGTTCATGTATTACTTCTATAATTAAAATGTAACTTAAAAAAAAAGAAAAAGAATGTTTTGTGAATATTAATACTAAATTAAAAAATGAACAATTTCTCAGGGCTACTTGGTCTGCCTGGCACCTCCCGTGCTCCTTCTGGAAGTGGCTCTCACACTGCCCCAGAGATCCTGCCTACCTGTCCCTTGCTCTTCTACCTGTTCCCACCCCGACTCCCAACTGCTCATGATAATTCCTTTATTTCTTCAGTAAAAAAAAAAACCATCAGGGCTTCCCTGGTGGCGCAGTGCTTGAGAGTCCGCCTGCCGATGCAGGAGACGCGGGTTCGTGCCCCGTTTCGGGAAGATCCCACATGCCGCGGAGCGGCTGGGCCCGTGAGCCATGGCCGCTGAGCCTGCGCGTCCGGAGCCTGTGCTCCGCAAATGGGAGAGGCCACAACAGTGAGAGGCCCGCATAACGCAAGGAAAAAAAAAAAAAAAAAAAAAAAACCATCAGAGGGAAGTTCCCTCATCCTCCCATCTACAAAACTGCCTGCCTTTGTGCCCCTTTGCTCCTTCCCTCCTGCTTCGGGGATGAAATGTCCTTCTCTTAGCAGCATTTGCCCCTTTCCCTTAGCACTGAAACCAATGAATTGGAAACTTCCACACCCCTGCAATAATTCTTCTACCACTGTAGCTGGTCTTAATCTCTTTTGCCCCCTTTTTCTCTACCTGATAAATGTCAAGCGTTTTAAGAATTCTATACTAGGCCCCTTCTCTTCTGTCTCTGAAGTCTCCCCTTAAGTGACTTAATCCAGTGCTTCAAAAATGCTGAAAATTCCCAGATGGAGATTCTCCATCCCACACCCAACAGGACTACAGTTTCATAGGCACAACTGCTTCCTACATCTTTCCACTTGGTAGTATCACAGGTATCTCAAATTTACCATGTTCAAAACTGAAACCTTGATTCCCACCCAGCCCCTGAATCTATTCCTCCCCAAGTTACCCACAATTCAGTAAGTGATGTTATCTTCTATGCAGCTGGTCAAACCAGAAACGTGGGAATGAGCATTCTTGACTTCTTCCTTGGCCTTCACATGCAATCTAATCTAAGTCCTATGCAATCTGTCCATTTCTTGCCATCTCCCCTGGGCTCTAGGTCCAAGCCGCCACTTCTGGCACCTGAGTTACTGCAGAAGCCTCCTACCCAGTCTCCTTTCTTTGTCAAACCCCCCAATCATTCTCCACAAAGCCATCAGAGTCATCGTTTTAAAATGTAAATAGGAACATGTCAGATCTCTTAAAAGTCTTCAAAGACCTCTCACTGCACCTGCAATAAACGCTAAACTCCTTACCTTGGTCTACAAGGCCCTCCTTACCTCTCCAACCTCATCCCCTCCCCTCTCCCCCTCTCTCTTCTCCAGTCCCATTGGCTTTCTTTCAGATCCTTAATCACACAAAACTCTCTCTCTTCCTATCTTTGGGCCTCTGCATTTCCCGCTCCCTCTGCCTGGAATGCTTTTCCCACCCCCACTCTTCAAATGGCTGCTTTTTCTCATCGATCAGGCATTGGCTTAAATGTTAACTCACTGAAATAGGTTCCTTCCTATTTCTTTTTTTAATTATAGTAACCTGTTCATTTCTTTCCCAACATTTCCTTTTTTTTTTTTTTTTTGCGGTTCGCGGGCCTCTCACTGTTGTGACCTCTCCCGTTGCAGAGCGCAGGCTCCGGATGCGCAGGTTCAGCGGCCATGGCTCACGGGCCCAGCCGCTCCGCAGCACGTGGGATCCTCCCAGACCGGGGCACGAACCCGTGTCCTCTGCATCGGCAGGCGGACTCTCAACCACTGCGCCACCAGGGAAGCCCCATTTCCTGTCTTATAATCACTTGACTGTTCATTTTTTATTGTCTAACTTCCCCATCAGAATGGAAGCACTGTGACGACATGAGCTATGTCTGCTTCATTCACTACTGAATAGTCTGTGACTGGCACTTAATAAATGCTCAATATTGTTGAAAAAGAGAAGGCCATCCCATTAGGAAAGTCAGTGAAATTTTAACTGTGTATTATAGAATAGTGCTTTACCCATGTCATCATCAACCCCATAGCAAGGTCTATGAACTGATATCTCCAACTGAGGCTAGATTGAAGAAATATGACTTAGTGCCCTATATGGGCACGGAGTCCTGCAAGGGGTGTACATGGAGCCGGCGGCGGGGCGGGGATTGCTTTGGCAAACCAAAGGACTTAAAGGGGCCTATTGTGACAGTTGGTTCTCTAATCAATTTTGTGTGGTGATTCTGGTAAGCTGAGTTTACTCCATCTTATAGATGACGAAGTTGAGACAAACTAACCTTTAAAAAACCAAGGTGGAGGGACTTCCCTGGTAGTGCAGTGGTTAAGACTCTGTGCTCCCAATGCAGGGGACATGGGTTCAAGCCCTGGCCCGGGAAGATCCCACATGCCACAGAGCAACTAAGCCCGTGCACCACAACTACTGAGCCCATGTGCTGCAACTACTGAAGCCCGCGCACCTAGAGCCTGTGCTCTGCAACAAGAGAAGCCACCACAATGAGAAGCCCGCGCACCGCAACAAAGACCCAATGCAGCCAAAATAAATAAGTAAATAAAACAAATAAATAGAAAAATAAAAAACCCAAGGTGGAGACCAAGCCAAACTGTGAAGAAGGCAAAGCTTGGCTCCTGCACTCTCTTTCTTGGCTTTTCAGTGCTTTGTCTGCCAACCCCATGTCCTCTGACCATCAGGCCTTCTACAGTGGCAGCTTATCCAGATTTGCTTTTGGATCCTTCAAGTACAGTGGTCTCAAAACAGTGTCAAACTCCAAACTTAGCTTCCTTTTTTTTTTTTTTCCAGTAGGACCATGCCCCTTGGAAATTAGCTCATTAAACTAACCTCTCCTAAAGTGATGCTTCTCATACAGATCTGCAGTTTACCAGGACACTCTGGAAGTATACCTGTGACTACAGAACTGACTGCTTCCTCCACCACAGCAAGCCAAAGTAGAACTTAATCTTTGCGAAAGTTGTTCAAATAACAGTCCCACTGGCAGTTGTTATTATTATTACTAATTTATACAAACTGTCCTTTAGCTATGACATACTCTCTCATTTGGTTATCATAATAGCCCAGTGAGACAAGAAAGAGAGGCAGTTATTATAGTTCTTTTACAGATAAGAAAACCGAGATTGAAGGAAGTTACTTCTGAATATCAACTAGCAAATGAACAGATCCTAGCCTGGGACTCCAAATCCTTTTTCTCCATTCAAATCTTTTTCCAACATCAGTTTGCCTCCTTCGTTGGCTCCTGAAATTTGTGTTGAGGGGAAGCTTTATCATGAATGAGTCTGGCCCTAGGTCACTGTCCCTGGTTCATGTTCAGGGTCTCAATTTGCCTTACTCTGGATAACCTCAAGTAGTTTATCTGTTGGTAAAATACTGCCCATAAAAGGTGTTGCTACAGATTTTCTCATTAACAGTTTTAGTGTAGATTAAAGAGATTAGAATTCCAAAATATCCAGTAATTTTTATTAGCCCTAGACCACAATGTTTTGAATCTGAGAAGCTTTGGACAAATGGTATTAAGAATCTTTAACTGGGGTTAGTTAAGGAGGTTTATGTCTGCAGATTGCTAGTTAAAATTCAAGGTTCCCATCTTTTAAGTGAACAGAGCCGATGGCAGACTTGACCCTCTACCTGGTAGACTGGTGGTCACAACACATTTGACACTGAAAATTGACCAGTGAAAAAGCTGTCTCACCCCACCCTTAAGAGCCAAGTGGAAACATTGGAACCTCAGTAATTTGTTTCTCTGGAGGCTTAACTATATCTGTCTGATTTACCCAGCGAACTCTTGCTGGTTTTAAACATCATCTCTCATGTTCTGTATTAAAATGCACTAATAGGGCTTCCCTGGTGGCGCAGTGGTTGGGGGTCCGCCTGCCGATGCAGGGGACACGGGTTCGTGCCCCGGTCCGGGAAGATCCCACATGCTGCGGAGCGGCTGGGCCCGTGAGCCATGGCCGCTGAGCCTGTGCTCCGCAACGGGAGAGGCCACAACAGTGAGAGGCCCGCATACCACACACACAAAAAATAAAATAAAATAAAATGCACTAATAACCAAGACATCAAGATGACAACAAAACACACCTGACAGCACAGCTGATTCACTTGCGTTTTATGGGTTATCCTCTATGGATAGAACAGTTTTCCTCAAGTTGAAACGAAAAAGAAAAAAAAGAAAAGCAAATATCTACTCCCAACAGATGCTGGGGCATAAGGAGTAAAGCTCTGTACTTTTCACTCTGTAGAAACAGACTAACGTAAATGCTCTCCAAGACATTTTTACAACAATCTCTTTAGTTAAAGTTAAAAGACTTTTCAACGCCTTGGTTTTGAGTATTTTCCGTGGGAGCACAGAGAACGTGGTGGGCCAGGCTCACCGGTAGGGAGGGATCTGGACCGGGCGCGCGTTTCCCAGCCCGCGCCTCACCAGCTAGGTCGCCGACCAGCCTCCAGCTGCACCCCCGCGGGGCCTAGCCCCAGCCCACTTCCCGCCCCTGCATTACCGGCGCCCGCGCCGGCCCCGCTGCCTCTTCCTCCTCCTCCAAGGTCGCTGCCGCCGCCGACAGGGACTCTACGGGGTCTTTGCGTTCGTAATGGGTGACCCGCGCTCCGGTGCTGGGATTGACCGGGGTTTGGAGACTGCTGGCCGCCAGCTTCGCTGCTCGGTGCGAAGCGGCCATCACCACGCCACCGAGGCCTGAGCGCCCGCGCTGGCCCGGGGCGTGGAAGCCGGCGCGGCCGTAGGCGCCCGATGGCTCCTTGCTTGGGGAGGTGGTTACTAGGGGTCCGGTAACTAGGGACGCTACAGGTGCCGCAAGGGGCCAAACATCACTCAAAACCGGCGCATGCTGCGGGAGGCCCGAAGTGGGGGGGCCTCCTGGATAGCGGGAATCAGTATTGAATCTTTGCTCGTTTAGAGGGCTGGTGGGCAGAATAGGGCACCTCTTCCCCTCCTTCGCGCTTCACCGCCTAAACGCAGGCTTCTCACATTATACTAATGAAACGACACGTTTTGTGAGTGAAAAAGCGCATTTTTATTCCTTGAAATAACCTGTTAGGAGGAGACGGCGGCGGCAGAGGAAAGCTGGGGATGTTACTACGTTGCGGTCTCAGGACTGGAAGGTTTGCGTGCCGCTACCCAACATGGCTCCCCCGGAAGCCAGAGAATGGGAGTCCTGTACATTCTGCTCTGATTGACTTGAGAGCTAGCAGAAATCGACCAATCCGGAGGAGGCTGCTAGCTATCCCTCTCGGCTGACCAATAAAAGCCCAGAGTTGGGTGGAGCCTGGTCCACCCACCAGTGAGCGAAAGTGCAAGTGTATGGACCGCGTGTTTGCTCCTTGGGTTCCTCAGCTTTATAGTGGTGGGGGTCGGAGGGCGAGAGCGCCCAGCAGTAGCCACAGACAAGTGTCATCTCCATCTCACCCCCATCAACATCTCCCACCTGGGATGTGGGTGCTTCAAATGACGCCTTCCCTCTACACCACGCGCCTGGAAGAGAGGCCTAGCCTTAAAATAGCAGGCGTGGTGCAGTCCAGCCACCTGCTACCTAAAGCCCCTACCTCCTGAGGCTGAGGCTGCAGCAACCTTCCCCTCCCTATTCTTCAACTTCCTCCCACTCCCTGCCCTACAACCTGCAACCACCACCACAAAGGTAGAGTATGCAGCGCGCGATGTCTAGAACCTTTCTCTGAGATCTGAGCCCTTTATACCAAGTCTCTCTTGTTCGCTGGTCTGGAGTGTGAGCACTTGCAAAATCCCCTATTCCCTCACCTTCTTCAGGCTGCTCTTTGTTTTTTTTTTTTTTTTTGGACTCGTAGGTTTATTTTACACTTTGGATTTTGATCCAATAAATACTTTATTTTATTGTTCAAAAGCTTTGAACATTGGGACATCTTTCGGTTAGTTCCTGTGTCCATTTGACATACCTCCATAATTGTAAGGGATTTTTTTCTTCTTTTTTTTTTTTTTTTTTTTGTTTTTGCGATACGCGGGCCTCCCACTGCTGTGGCCTCTCCCGCCGCGGAGCACGGGCTCCGGACGCGCAGGCCCAGCGGCCATGGCCCACGGGCCCAGCCGCTCCGCGGCACGTGGGATCTTCCCAGACCGGGGCACGAACCCGCGTCCCCTGCATCGGCAGGCGGACTCCCAACCACTGCGCCACCAGGGAAGCCCTGCTCTTTGTTTTGACTGAGCATTTGCTTCGACCACTGGAACAGATGCTGGCTGGATTCTGAGCAGAAGCCAGAGTTGGAAGCCCATGAGGTATGGATGCCCCAAATGACTGGAGAAGGGACTTCTAGTCATTTGCATGCAGCTAGTTCTGTGAATGCACGTCCCCCTCTTGGGATTCGTTTTAAGTCCAACCCCAAACCAGCAAGACAGGTCTATGTGCTGAAGCACTGCAAATGGAAGATTAGGCTAGAATAGGATAGAAGGAATGAGTGTGGAGGACACATTGTATGTGTTTATAGAAGAGCAGAAAAGCTTCCACTCATCAGCAATATTCTAAATTTGCAGATATATTTTTTAAATTGTTTTAATTGAAATATAGTTGATTTACAATGTGTTAGTTTCAGATGTACAGCAGTCATTCAGTTATATATACATAAATTTGCAGATATCTAATAATATAGCCTCAAAATACATACAGCAGAAATGGACAGATCTACAAGAAGAAAATGACAAATCTTACATCATCATAGGAAGAATTATTTTTGCACTTTTGTATTGAGATGTAACATACACAGTGCAATGAATAGATCTTAAATGTATAGTTGGGGAACCTGCCTGGACGTTCAGTGGCTAAGACTCTGCTTCTAATGCAGGGGGCCCGGTTTGATCCCTAGTCAAGGAACTAGATCCCACATGCTGCAACTAAGAGTTCACATGCCACAACTGAAGATCCTACATGCCGCAAGGAAGATCCCATGTGCCGCACCCAGCACAGCCAAATAAATAAACAGATTTTTTTTTAAGTGTACAAAAAATTATATAGCTGGATGCGTTTTGACAAATGTGTACACTCATGAAATCATATTAAGAGTATAGAACATTTCAGTCATCCCGGAAAGATCCCTTGTGCCCCTTCCCAGTCTGTTCCCCATTCCACATTCCCTTGACTGTTATAGAACTTCATATAAATGGAATCATACTGTATGTACTCCTTCTGCTCTTAACTTCTTTTGATCAGCATACTGTCTTTTGGGGATTCATCCATGTTGTATATATGAGTAGTCTGTTCCTTTTTAATTGCTGAATAGTATTCTTTGCTGAGATAATAGTTTTCCAATACTGGAAGAATTTTCCTCATTATTTTGTGCTATTCATAATGTAACAGTTACAGTCAAGGCATACTCTTAAATTTAATCCGTGCCATTAACATTGTCTTTATCACTTTCTTAAGTTTATTCACTCGTCTATTGTTTCCATTTTTTCAGCTGTCAGTTTGGGTCCTTCAGGAAGATGATACCAGGAAGGAGTTAGAAGTGAAAGAGAGTTATTGGGGGAAGTTCCTGTGAAAGATAAAGGGACGGGAGTAGGAATGTTTTCAGGACAAGATATATTCTGACACCTTAGAAAAGAGAGGGAAAGGAGAATAATTGTGTAGGTGAAGGTTGAAACTACAGTGAAGGTCTGAGAAAGTCTCAGCCAGGTAAAAAGAGAACTCCAGGACAAAGATTGCTCATAGAGCAGACATGGCCAGACCCTACCAGCCCTGCCATCTGAATCATTGGCTAGCACTCCCTCTGAAGAGCAAGTTCTCAAATGGAACACTGTGAGAAAACCCTGAAGTGCTGTGGTTGCCGGCTGTTAGCCAGTGTTATGCTGGTAAATGTTTGATGACTGGCTCTCTGGGAGAAAGTGTGTGTGTATGTGATTGTACTTATAAATTTTAGTAATATAAAGAATTGTAGCACACAACTTATAAATAAAACATACTCTTTACTGTAAATCCCTCACAATTGATTCTCCCAGAGTACTTTCATTGGTTTTTGCTGAACTCTTGTATCTATAGCCAACCTATGGTTGCAACTGGTGAATGTAGTTCCAGCATGAATGCTGGTTGATATTTTTGTTTATATTAATGACTAAGATGAAAGTGAAACAACCAACATGTATGTCAGAATTTCACTTGTCTGCCAATGTTGTAACTTTTTTGCTAGAATAGATAAATAATTTTCTAATACTAAAAGAATTTTCCTTAAATTTTTGTGCTCTTCACAATGTGACAGCTACAGACACCACACACTAAGTTTTTTCTGTATTATTAGCATTTTCCTCATTGTTTTAAGTTTAAAAGCCAACCTGTAGCACTCGCTGATTTCCATGATGTCAGTACCCTCGCCAAGGCCAATTTCAAATAACCAGTGTGACATCACTGAACATGAACTTGGGGAATGATGCCCAATAGGACACCATTATATAGTTTTTCCACCATACAGATAGAGTAGATGCAAATAATCTTGAGAGCCTAAGTATAAGTAAAATGTAGTAACAGAAGAGGAAGTGAAGAGTTTTGAGAAATTATCTTTGTTTTGAATATAATTTATTTAATTACAATTTAGCAAAACTTAATTTTTAATAATGGCTGTGTTTAACAAACAGTTTGCAAATACCCTGAAATTTTTACAGTCAGGTCTTTAAAGCCAGTACTAACAGGCCCCTGCACACTGCTGTGTCAATTGACTTCACTCCTCACAGCAGAGCCTGTCTTTAAAGGAGATCTAAGCAGGTAAGCTAGTTGACTGCCACATTTGCTATTGTGAATAAAGCAGCTATGAACAGTCCTGTGTCTTTGATACATTTGTGTATACATGGAGGGATATAGAAGATTTGAACAGCACAATTATAATTAGGTAACATATGTCTATTAGAAAATACATTTTTTCTAATATGTATATAAATATATTTTATATATTATATTATAGAAATAAATTTATATAAATATATATATAACAATTGGAGAATATATATTATCTTAGGAACATTATAAAAAGAAACCATAGCACTCAGCCATAAAGCTAGCCTCAATAGACTTCAAAGGATTAATATTATACAGTTAACATTCTCTGATCACTTAATGCAATTGTTAGACATTAATTTTTTTAAAAAACTAGAAAAGGCTTTCAGTTTGGAAACTCTAAAATACTTCTAAAAACAATTTATGGGTTACAGAAGAATTCATGACAGAAATTATAAAATATATAGTAAGTATATATATGTAAATTATATATGAAATAAATATATTTATTAATATATTAATATTATGTTCCTTAGAAACCACTTAAATGTATATTAAATAAATAGAAACCATATATTAATTATATTTAAATTTACATATTAATGTACAAAATGTAATATTATATAATTATATTCATTTGTGATAGTATATTAATGTATTTAATAAAATATTTTAAGTGGTTTTTAAGCCATGTGTTAGAGTAAATTTTTGGTGGGGAGGGCTGCTCTGCATGGGCTGTGGGATCTTCGTTTCCCAACCAGGGATCAAACTGGAGCCCTCCGCATTGAGAGCACAGAGTCCTAACCACCAGACCGCCAGGGAATTCCCTGGAGTAATTTTTTTAATGCAGAAATAGATAATTTGAACACTGGATTATCAGATAGCTTCCAAAATGCCTCAGATGATTCTAATCGTTTACAGGTTGGAAAACCAAG